TTATATATGTGTGTGTGTGTGTGTGTGTGTGTGTGTGTGTGTGTGTGTGTGTGTGTGTGTGTGTGTGTGTGTGTGTGTGTGGTAGAAAAGTGCTATATGTGTAGGGAAAGGAGCTGTGTGAATGTTATATAAGTACGGTCTATTACCTGAAAAAAAGTAAGTGAATGTTGCTGCATTTTTTGCTCAAGCACACACTTAATTTATTCATAACTTTTCCACTTCAAACAAGTAAAAACATCTTTGTTATACTCCAGAAATCCTATCAACATTTTCCCTCAACATTTCCAATTCAGTAGATCATGGTCAGAGCTGCTATAATTAATATTGTTAGGTAAACGATGGATGAAAGGGTAGTGATGAACCCACAGAGAATCCCCCCCCCCCCCCCCCCACACACACACACACCCCCAAATCTACAGGGAGTTTTAACCTCTGTATAGTTTTGGTTTTACAGCCTGATGCTTTAATGTTTTGACTCTTTCACCGCTCTCATCAGCGCTGTTTCCAGATGCCCTCAGAGAAGACAAAGTTAGCAATAGAGCATTTGGCAGAAAAAGATATTTTTTTCTCAACAGTTGGTCGAGATCAAAACCATAGCTAAAGGAGAGTGAATAACCCTAACTCTGCAAATGAATGCTAATGTTGCTAAGATGTTAGCCTCCGGCCTTCATCTGTGAATCAGCAAAGGTGCCCTCGATGGCACCCACACATCCATTATTCAAAGCCTTCCCTACCGTCTGTGAATGTACAGTATACGTGGGTTTATGTGTGTGTGTGTGTGTGTGTGTGTGTGTGTGTGTGTGTGTGTGTGTGTGAGCATTAGAGACATGACCTTCATGATGCATCAATAGAAGGAAACAATAAAGTCTGTTTCTGTTCAGCTGTTTTTCTGCGCTTCAAGGCAGAGAGGCTTCTCTGCATTGATGCATCACCATGAGTCATTTGCCTCTGTGCTGTACTCTACTCTTCCTTTCAGTGATGTAAGGACATGATCTGAGTCACTTTTGCCCACACACACACACACACACACACACACACACACACACACACACACACACACACACACATACATGAACACACACATTTTATTGCTGTAGATTTCATCAGAAACAAACCTCACATGAGCATAAATGATTATAAATCACACCAATACATTACAGTATCATGTATTTCTAGTAACACAGAGCAACTTACTGTACTCGAGGAAGCACACACACACACACACACACACACACACACACACACACACACACACACACACACTGCTCTCTGCTCAGCCTTTCACCTCGGTACCAGCATCCCCCTTCAATCACTAATTGGCCCACAATGAATGGACTGTTATTCTTCCACCTCTTTCTCCTCACATCCCTCCTTCTTTTCTCCTCCTTTCCCGTCCTCGTCCTCCCTCTTCCTTTCTTCTCGTTCTCCCCTCTCTTTGTTTTCGCCGACACTGGAGGAGAGGAAGGAAGTGCATGGACGAGTGTGTGAACCCTCTTTCTCTTTCTTCCCTTTCTCCCCCCTCTCAGCGCTTGTTTTCCTTCTCTCTCTGTTGTTGGTGAGTCAAAGAGGTGAGCTGGGGGGGCCCCTTAATGTACGAAGAGAAAGAGAAGGGCCCCTCTTAGTTTCCTCTATAGTGTCTATAGACACTGAGACAACCTGAATAACCCCTTTTATTGAGGGAAGGGCAAGTAGTGGAAACATCCCAGAGGTGAAAAGAGGCTTCAGTGTCATTAGTCTGCAGTCACTTTCTTTTTATGTCATTGCTGGAAGTGTAAATAGGTTGGAGCAAGGAGGGTTTCATGGGGCTGAAAGCAGTGTGTCAAGTGTTGGATCAGCCCACAAGCTGTTGTGCTGAGTATTGAAGCCATATTCCCTGTCTATCATCAGTTAAGGCCGTTGCTGCAGAGACACAATCATGTCGAATGTGATTTGACGCGATCTACTGCACCTGTGGAAACAGATCGATTGACTCCGTTGTGAGCTGTTCAATCTGATTCTCTCTGACTTCTCTGTGTCTTTTCCCTCTCTCAGGACCTCATTGTGGACCAGACCATAGAGAAGGTTTCATTCTGCGCTCCGGATCGTAACTATGACAAGGCCTTCTCCTACATCTGCCGAGACGGGACCACCAGACGGTGGATGTGCCACTGCTTCATGGCTCTCAAAGACTCGGTGAGAGGACGATTAACCGTCCATTAATGCTGCAGGGACAGTCAGGACGCCATGTCCGGGCTAGACTCTGTTCCACTAGCTCCTGTAAATTAAAGCAATCTCTTATTCAGCATTTAGATTTCAGTTACTGGTGTTTTCTATCCATATTCTAGGATGAATTTGCATCCATCAGTTGTTTTTAGAGGTTGAAACCTTTATAAATTCTGCAAAGTTATGCTACAAGTAATTGGTTATCACACACAAAATTACAGATCCCATGAAAAATTATCAGTAAAAGTAAAAGTTCTCCAATAAAAACCATTGCCTAGTTGTGATCTCTGCTGTCTGAAAACTTCCACACCATTTGGTCCTCTCTGCACTGAAACATCTGAAGCTGCAGTCTCATGACGTTTATTCACAGTTGACCAGGATTTATGGGAAATGGTGTTCATAAAATGCAGCTAAAACAGGAATATATGACATCATTCTGTAATAAAATCAATGTTCTGAACAAATGGAGTGAACCTCAAATCACATTGTTGAGGAAGGCTCTGTAGTTTTAGTTATTTATGTTAGTACAAATGTCACTGGGGTTTTGAAAGAAGTTTTCTAACTCTTGGAACAGAACCTGGACGTTGTGGTTTCACTTTGGCTCTCTGTTACTTTTTATTCCAGATGTCCAAATTTCCATCTCTTATCTTGGACACTTTTTAAAACCAACAAATTTTCTTGTCATGTTGGCTCTTGAAAATTGTGTTTGTTTCAAATTAGTGTTGAATTGACAGGTGGTGATTAAAAAAATTTATAACCAGCACTAATATTGATAATCAATTAATCATTTAAGTAATTTATCAAGCTAAAGTCCTTAGATTTCCATTGTTTAAGCTTCTGAAATGTGAGGATTTATTTTTTCATTTTCCTTAGTTTTACATCATTATGAAGTGTATATTTTTATGTTTTAGACTGGAGGAAGAAGAGACGAGGCATCATCTCGTTCTCGTCTTGATGGGCATTTTCACTAATCAGATAGATGATCACTAATGAAAATAATCATTAGCTTCAGCTGTATTTAAAGTGTTGAACCCACACTAACATACGGTGCAATATGCCATGCATGTATGGTTTAGGCACATGAACCCATTTTGTAGCACTAACATCTCAAGTACAGTTGTGTTTAGTGATTCGTTGATGTGCTTTGTTTTTTAATCTTCCACTCTAGCTGCTAGCATAGCTTTTGATTGGCATTCATTTGCCTCACCTCTGGATAAAGAGGTTGAGATCTAAAGAGAACTGCAACAGAACCAACGAATTGTGGTTTCAACCCCATGGTGGTTTCATCAGCTTAGACTGTGGGTTGGATTGTTAATGTGGACGGAAGAGAGCGTAGCACAGACCTGTGGGATTAGGAGAAGGGATTAGACAGAAGCCCATGGAGTTATCCGTCCATATCTGTGTATCTCTATTTCCACCGCACACTCTCCATATCTCTTTGTGCTCATCTTAAACTGAACTGTCTCTCCCATAGCTGTCATGGCGTCTTTGCAAAGAGAAAGAAGTGGAGACAAGAAGGGAGATGATAGGAAAGTAGGAATTAATTATAGAAAAACGGTCATTGAAATGAGTTGCATTTAGAGCCACAGGCTATGACATTTGATAAGAGGACAGATCTGAGGTTGATAATTGGATTCTCCTCCGATCCTCACTGTTGAGTCTCTATTGTATGTTAATATTGGAGCTTGATTTTAAGGTTAGCATATTGCATAAAAACACCCCTGTTGACTAAAAACATTAAAGAGTGCAGAAGCAAACTGTTTTCAGATGGTGTGGAAACGATCAATCCAGGTTCGGTGTAAATATGGCTTTAACTGTGAAGTGTTTTAATTGATGTTTTCTGCTGCACCAGGGGGAGAGACTGAGCCACGCAGTTGGCTGTGCCTTCGCCGCCTGTCTGGAGAGGAAGCAGCGCCGGGAGAAGGAGTGCGGCGTGACGGCGTCCTTTGATGCCAGTCGCACCTCATTTGTTCGTGAGGGCTCCTTCCGCGCCAACTCCTCCTGCAGCCAGCAGGGCAGCAGCAGCGAGCGCGATGACAAACTGCAGGACAAGAAGAAAGGTAGGAGGATATTTCACACAGTTAAATGTCTACTTCAAAAACTACTCACTAACTTTTAAGAATTACATTGACCATTACTACCCCCGTCCTCCTCTAGACCAGCCCTCTGTCATCCCAGCTCTCCCACCTGGCACTGCCTCCCCACCCGAGGGTGCAGCGTCCCCCATGGACCGCCCGGAACCAGGCGGGCCTCACGCCATCCCTCGCCGCCACGCGCCCATCGAGCAGCTGGTGCGTCAGGGCTCGTTCCGGGGATTCCCAGCACTGAGCCAGAAGAACTCTCCCTTCAAGAGGCAGCTGTCGCTCCGCCTCAACGACCTGCCATCCACGCTGCAACGCAAGACCGACTTCCAGGCCAAGAACCCTGGTGAGTTGAGGAGTTCTTGAAGTAAGACTCACAGGTGGACTCACCAAGGGAGCTGCCACTGCTTCCCTTTATCTGCTGTTCACTGGGGTCAGAAGGTCCCGACCTTTGGCTGCTCTACATCTACATCTGCCATTCAGGATAAAACTGTCTGTCAAAATTGCAGTATGTAAAAGAGCTAGGGTTTGGGGGAGCCTTATGTGTTTTTGTTTGTTTTTTTGTTTTTTTGTTTTTTGATGAAGGGAGTATTTTTGATCTTGTTTTTTAACTTTTTCTCAACCCAGATTTATATTTTATTTCAGCTTTCCCTTGTGAGAAATGGCTTATTATGGGGGGTGATGTTACTGTGTCAAGGGAGGGTCCAAAGAAAATTGCTCCAAGAAGTGATTGATCCACATCTAATTAACACTTAGTCTCTAGATGCCTCCTCAGTATCCTCCATGAAATCAGACGGGATCTCTCTCTTACAAATGCAAAATATGATTCTCAACCTCAAATCATTTTTAGTATTTCAAAGAAGTCAAACAACATTTCCACTGTTTGTTCACACAAACAGAGACCACACATGGGGACTGTGCGTTTGACTCGTGTCGTGGTTGTTTGCAGATCGCAGTGTTATTAAATTTCCCCATTTGGCTTCAATGTGACATCACTGACCCCTGTCAGTGCACTAAGTAAATCATATTACAGACTAAACTATGTCAGATACATTAACATTCATGTTTTCATGCTGACAGGCTGTAATTCTTCAGTTTAATCCTGACACTTTGTCTTTCACTGAACACGAGCCACGATAAAAACCAGTTGTGTGAAGTGCTATTATTATTGCTGTTAGCAACAGCACTGATGGTTGTTGCCGTTGTGCGACTCTGAGAGCTCTTGACTTTTTACTAAGGACAATTAATAATAACTGACTTACCCCTCACAGGTTGATGTACACGCACACACACACACACACACACACACACACACACACACTCAGGAACACACACACATCGTAGACACACCTACCCGGCGTGGTGCCACAGGATCAGAGCGCTCAGTCGTGAGACTGATTATAGTCATTAGGAGAGATGAGAGAGTTGACTGGGGGACTCCTCTGACTGGAATACTAAACCACAACATTCAACTCCCACCCTCACTCCAATTCTCATATTCTCTGCTTTCATTTCTGTCTGTTATTCTCCGATGATGGTTAGTATATATCTCCAGCGGTGATGGATTTGGTGCAGCTTGAATACTATATGTGCAACTCTCTCTCTCTCTCTCACACAAACACACAGATGCACACACTAGGCGGTAGAAGCCAATTCCACTGCCTCCCTGTTCCCTTGTGACTCTCTGAACAATTGTTGTATTGATTTGTGCGGTCAATCAGCTGTCCTGGTTAGCCCTCAGCAAGCCTTCTTCCAGCCCTTAAACCTGCCACTGCACTGAGAGAACCACACACATGCACACACACACACACACACACACATAGACACACATAGAACACACAGTGCGTCTGAACTCTGACAAGAATAGGGGAAGAGAAAGATCACAGGGTCAGTCTTAGCAGAACAAAGCACAGAGCCATCTTTAATGGGAGGCCTTACACATGCCTGCAGCGCCCTCTGCGCCCTTCAATATAATTCAAGGCCTGTAGCTATACAGTGCACACAGATGAGAGAGATATACATATATTCAAAGGGTGGGCTGCTGTCGGGTTTGGAGTTTGACCCACAATGGGCCCATCTGTGGTAATCTCATTGACTTATTTTGAATCCCACTCCTCTGTACATTCATGCCTCTGCATGTGCATGTTATAAAACTTTACTGTAGTGTCAAGGAAGTCATCAAACTCTTCTTTGTCAAGTGTTTTCGACGAGTGTGTAAAAAACAAAACAGGAAGGATGAGGCACTGTAGGAGAGAAGGAGGCAAAGGAAAGGAGGGAACAAAAATCCTCTATCTCTGAGGCATTGGTTATGAAGAGGGGGGAGGAGGGGGGGGGGCAGGAGAAAAGGAACAGAGAATTAGATATTATATCTATTTATATCTGCGGTCTGTGCAAGAGAGTTTTAAAGCTGTAGTTCAAACCAAAGTCAGACAGGAACGTTATGCCGCCTAATCCCTCACTGGAAGGATCAGGTACATTTTAAAAACATGGATAAACTAAGCCTGATTCACCTCTGTCTGAGTCATCCCGATGCACAAAACACACAAAACAAATGGGGTTAGTCCACACAGTTCTGCTTGACGAAGAAGATCCTGATTAGCACAATGCAATATTTGTCATTAGAATCTTGTGTTTTTGTAGGTCATTAGCAACCAGCATCAAACTCTTTATCCTCTTTAGTTTTGATGTTAACTGGGTCTGTTACACAAATGAATAAATATTTTTTCTCCCCCTCTCTGTTTGTTTGTCCTTCTACTCAATCCCTCTCCTCTCCCATCCCATCTATTCTTTTCATTCTTTTCCACATCTCTGTTGTCTTTCGCTCTTTATCCACCTCCTCGCCTCCCTCTGTGCTTCTCTTTCTTGCTAGTACCAGAGATGGATATGGGGTTGCCAGGTGAGGGAGACAGTAGTATTAATGCCCTTTGTAGCCAGATCAACGCCTCTTTTACTAAGCCATCGGAGGAGCTCTTCTCTAGCCCCTCCATGTCTGCAAATGGCCCCCCAACCTGCACTGTGCCCCCTGTCCTGCCCCCACCACCTGCACCGATGCAGGGTAAGAGGGATTGCATCAGATCAATAGTAATACTGAGTAATGCCCTCAGTGGTGAGGAGATGATTACACTAAAATCTTTTGTTTTATCCCTCTAGCCACTTCTTCCTGGGTGCAGCCAGAGCCTCCACTCCACTCTCCTCCTCCGGTTTCTGTGGCGATGCAGATACAGATGCAGATGCAGATGCAGAGCGGACACAAGCGCACCCCCTCTGAGGCCGAAAGATGGCTGGAGGAGGTCTCCAAGGCCGTCAAGGCTCAGCAAACCCCTCCTCCAGGTCCCACAATCCCCACCATCCCTGGGCCGCCCACAATTTCGAGTCATCAGATGTCCAGTCAGGCGGCCATATCAGCTGCCCCAGTGACCACTGTCCCCATGTCCCTTGGCACCATGTCCAAACCCCTCATCTCAGGCCCGTCTGGCCTCTCAAGTCAGGCCCCACTGCCCCTTCCACCCATGTCCATATCATCAGTTCCCTTAATACCAGGCCCTCCAGTGTCAGGGCCTCCTATGTCTCTTCCTTCCATGTCGATCCCCACGATGTCCGGTCCAAGTATGTCTGGGGCCCCCATGATCCAGCCCTCACTTCCTGGGCCCCCAGGCTCCCTTCCAAGCTCCATGCAGCCTTTCCCCTTGGCTTTTGATGCTACCCCGGCCCCTGTGGGTATGTTCGCCAGCCAGCCTGTCCAGCCGGCATTCGTGCCCATGCAGACCTACATGCCAGGCCTGGCAAGCAGTATGACCTACCCCAACGCCAGTGTGCCTGTAGTGGGCATCACTCCATCGCAAATGGTGGCCAACGTCTTCTGCACCGCCACGGGCTCATCAGCTGCAGGCGGAGCCATGGGCTCGGCCGGAGGAGGACCCAAAGCGGGGCCACTCGGAACAGTCGGCCAGCACCATTCTTACCCAGGAGCGCCTGGTGCAGTCGGGCCCTCCGGAGGGTTTTCTACACCACCGTTCTCTTCCACACCGCCATTATCAACAGCCCTTAATGGTCTCCCACCACACAGCAGCGCTATGATGACCCTCCAGAACGGCACCTCCAACAGTGGCGGGAACGGTGGCAGCAGTAGCAGCTGGCCGCCAGAGGGCAGCCAGCTAACAGCTCCGGTGGCCAGCGATTCTCAAGACGATGATCGTTTTGAGGCCCAGTGGGCAGCACTGGAGACCAAACCATCGCCTCAGCAACCGGGGAACAAGGCGCCAGCTGCAGCAGCCAACCCATTTTCCAACAACTTGCAAAAGACTTTCGAGATTGAACTCTAAGACGGACTCGGCCTCCCAAAGCTGTAGTGCTAGCCCTGGAGTCAAAGCCTGAGGAAGCCAGGCACTAAATCCAGCATCTCTGCCTAGAATGGGATGCAGTTAGCCTAGCATCTGACCTGTGGCAGCCTAGCAACTTGTTCAAAGCTCTCATAGTAGTCAGTACTATAATGATCTTGATTGCTTTCTTTACACTCCCATGAGAGCTTTGGAGGAGGCTGGCAGATTGCTAGGCTGCCATCGGAGGATCAGGTCTCTAGTTCATCTGACTTGATGGACTGAGTCCTTGTACTCCAACCCGCTAACAGCCACTCTTCCCTGCTTTCACTTTTCCACTCTGGCTTTACTTTACCTGCTGCAAGTCCCTGGATGTACTGTACGTGCCCCTTTGAGAACATTGTGGTGGGGGGACACAGTTCAGTGGTTTCTTTCTTTTAAAAGCGGACTCCACTCAGATGCATTCCAATCCCATGAGATGTTTTCGGCAGTTCTGTTTCCGGTGGGGATTCTGGTGGAGAATTAGCGGAAATGGCGACACCACAAGACATGCAGTGAAGCAGAGAATTGATTGGTTGACTGAGAATCAGACTGATGCTGATCTTAACCAAGCAAAAGCAGATGTTTGGATACCTGAAAGGACTAGCCAGTGATGTAAGACCTAACCCTACCAACCCAAAAGGACTTACTGACCAATAGTAGAGATTTATGGCCAAAATTATTTTATTTATTGTATTTTATTTTTTATTTTAACAAGTTATATATACTTAAAAATCAAATTTTTAAAGCAGTGCTTCACAAGCGTGTTTTTTTTAACCCCCCATATTTATTTTTGTCGAAGGAGGGAAACTACAGGTAGCTGACAGATAACATGTAGGATTGGGCAGCAGTAGAGGGAAAGCATTGTGGGAAACTGAGTCATGTAACCGGAACCAAATAGCCAGGGCTGACAGTACAGCAGTGTGTAGTGTGACATGTGAAACAGTAAGTGTATATAGCGGCATGTTTCTTCCACTCGTTAGCCCTCACGTATTTACGCTCCACTGCTGCTGAGGCCACTTGAGTCAGTATGACTTCACTTTGGCTCTGTGGCCCATTTCTGTTGCTAAAGCCTTCCTTCAAGGGCACCGGGACATGAAAACTCACTTCAGGATATCCAGCACACAGACACTCTGGACAATGCAGCACAACAACAGTCCTTTGGACTCCATCATCTCTCCAGACAAACCCAAGGAACTTAAACAACTCAGTGGAAAAAAAAAACACTCTACAACACTGTGCAACTGGTTGAAAAAAAATGATGCACTACATTCCAACATTCATAAATCCTTTGACGTGTTCAAACACAGGGTATAGACTCATCACGTACAGTATGATTGTGTATTCACCTCTACTGTATCCGTTGCAGTAGCACTGCACTCATGATGGATGTTGGGATTGATGATTAGAAGTGAAAAGACAGGAGGAACATGAGCAGACATAGACTGGCAAATAAAAGAATTAAGAGCAGTTAGATGACCAAGACTTGATTGATAGAACAGAGAGAGAAAAATATAGATGAGTAGAAGAATAGATTACGAGAGGAAGGAAGGAAGGAAGGAAGGATAACCTGCATGTGCGAGACTGAAGGCGAGAATGGAGCTATACCTTTAAAAAATGAGATGGAGGAAGTCTGAAGGAAGGAAACACGAGATAATACGTGATAAAAAGTGAGAGACGGATTGTGTGAAAATATTAAGAACAAAGACACATTCATCACGCAGCCCACAAACGCAGCACTGTCTTCACATCTGCTTTTGCCTCAAGGCCGAGCCACTTCAAATTTCAGCATCGTGTTCCTCAACTCTTCAAACCTCACAAAAAACACTTTTGATTATATTTAAAAACATGTTGCTTTTTTTTATATATATATAATTGCAGCCTCATAAACAAGATTCTTGTCTAAGTATGTACAACCGCCTGTATAGTTAAAACTTTGGCAACAAAGCTTTCTTGTGTTTTAACTTGCAGTTTCTGGCACGAGTCGTAAAAGTCCAGGTCTGCTCAAGAAGATGCAACATTATGAAGTAGAAATGTTCTTTATCGAAGGGCTTTTTCCACAGGTTGTTTCTGTATGTTATATAACCTGTGATCTGGCCAGAGATCCTATTATGTTTCCTGGGAATTGAATTGTATGGATATGGACTGCCACTGATTAGGTTTCCTGCTCATTAACGTCCCACAGTTTCATTAGCTTGTTGGGTCTCTTCCTGTGGCAGCGTTGCCCTGTGATAGGCTGCTTTCCATCTCTGGTTCCTCCCAGGGTTTCCTTTGTTGTTTGTTGTTGTTTTCAGGCAAATCAATATTTTCTCCCCCTCCAAACAAGTACAAACTGCTCTCTCTCTATATATATAATACAAGACCGATTCACTCATGAAATCAAAGCTTTTATTTCACTGAAAATATATTTTAGCCTTCGACTCTTGTTTGCACGCCCTCCAAATTATAAATGTAGGTTAATTGTGTTTCTGCATTCAAGCAAACTAAATGACCTCATAAACTTGATTGTAAAACCATAGTTTAGTGATGGTAACAAAGCAAACCAGTTTATTTTTAATCTTTATTTACAGAATTTTTGTATTTAAACCTACATATTTGTATTGTAATTACATTGTACAAAAGATAAATAAAGTAATATAATATTACACCTGCTTATGTTTTGTCAGTGGTGACTTTTTGACTTGATAACTACTGTAGTTTTCTTCTTTCTGGCCTGTCCCTTTTATGAGCTTTTCATTTTTCCAATTTATTTCTATATCCTTTACCCTCACCTTCACCTTCACCCTTACCATTTTCTTTTATGCCTCCTGGTATCTCAAGTGATGTCTGTTCTTATCGATCTGACTCTTTTTACTTCCTGTTTTTCTTTCTTCGACTGTTGAATGAATTTTGAGCAAAACCTAAAATGGGAAGCCTTCTGAATGTTTTAAAAACACATTGGAAGGCCTTAAACGCTAATTGGTTTAAAGGTCCTATGTTGTATAAAGATTTCCATGTCTTTTTTCATTGTAAAGCAGGTCTAGGTTCAATGTTAACACTGTGAAAGTATCAAAGCGCTCAGTCCACAGAGAAATGCACACAGTCTTTATTCAGAAACTGAGCCTTGAGCTTAGCCTGACCCTGGAGATGTAAAGCTACACTGAGATGGTTTTGTTTCTTAAAACCACAAGTATATTTTCTTATGGATGTCAAAACCAGAAAAAAACAGAAAAGTGTAAAATATAGGACCTCTAAAGCAATAGTTTGCCATGTTGGGAAATGTTTTCACTTTCTTGCTGAGTGTTAGATCAATACCACTGTCATTTCTGTCTTAAATATGCTAAAGCCAGGACATGGTTCGCTTAGCGTAGCATAAAGGCTGTAAACAGCTAGCTGGGTTCTAAAAAAACCCCCAAAAAAGCAGCACTTAACAGCACCTCTGAAGATGACTACTTAAAAATGTTATATCTTGTTTGTTTAATCAGTACAAAAACAAAAGTGTAAAAATTAATAGTTCTGGTTTTATGAGTGGGAATCATTGCGCATAAAGTGAAGCAACTTCACCACTGTTCGACCACAAATTAAAAGATAATTAGTGAGTTTTAGAGGTGCTTCATATTTAACCTCCAAATGTATATTTAACAGACACATATGACAGTTATTATTGCTCTTTATTGTTAGCTACAGTTGTAGCAGTACAAAAAATACAAAAAAAACAAAGGCATCACAGCTGTGATGAAAGACAAACTGCTGACACCTCATCACCTTGTTATACCTGCATGCTGCCTTATTCCTCTCGTTTTCTGTCTGTGCCTTGTCTCCTCTCTGTCTGAGTGATCACCCCACAGCCCCACAGCCCCCCCGCCCCAACACTCCTGGATGTAGTGCTGTCTAACCAGCCCCTGTCCTCTAGTCAGCCGGGCTGAGCGGTGCTGCTGCTGCTGCTGCTCAGGTCACTAATGGAACGAGACAAGGCTTCTTTTCTTCTTAAGGGCCGTGAGAAATGGGGCGAATGCATACACACACACACACACACGCACACGCACACACACACACACACACACACACACACACACACACACACACACACACACGCACATACTCACACACACTGAGCTCTTGAGCGGTGGTAGCAGTAACTCTCACCCAGCCATTGTCCTCTGATCTGAGGTCAGAGTCAGTGAGTGTGTGTTGCAGCAGAGTCAAGGAGGGAAGATCAGCAGAGCTCTTTGACTGTAGTGGTCAGACTTTTATTTTCCAGTGATGCTAGCTCCATCATTGTCTCTGCTCTGCATTTAGCACGTTAATGTAATGAATTCATTGTGCATCCTGGTGCTTACATGAAAGTTAAATCAAAGTCAGTGTTAATGAGGCAAAATGAGATCATATCATGTTGTGTACAGTAGGTTCTTTGATCAGGCCTGTCTTTGATGATTTTTAATTACACTTTCTCCCCGTTGCTTTGGCACAATTGTTGAATGAAAATTAGCATTCCACAAAACACTGAATAATTCTCACATCTATACTTTGTATCCTCACAGCAGCATATGTTTTCACACAGAATACAAAAGTATAAAGACAAATCATGATCATGAGATGCATTGCATTATCCCCTGTGATCAAACAATCTGTAAAACTCCCAGACAGGCTCATCACCATGCTCATTTTGTGAATTCCCACATGCAAATTATAATTATGGATTTTCATCTGGTATTTTCATAAAAAGAACTGATAACACATTTACTTTTAAAGTAAATTCAAACATGTTTGCATGCATTAATTGTAGTGAGGCATTTATTGTTGTTGTTTTATTTGTTGTATGTAATTAATTTTCAATGGCTGAAATGATAAAGGGACTTGTCATTTATTAAATATTAAACAATGAACTCTTCAGTTTCATCTTATTCCCAAATAAGGATACTTCTTCCAAATTATGGATGACAGTGTACCATATAAAATAACTAACTCTTGTATAATTTGGCTTATATTAAGCTTTATCTTTCTAAAATCATCTTGTACCCATATACACAAGCATTAAATGAAATCACACCAATTCAACTCTGCAGTGCCTCCACCCACCCGAGCACTCTGCATTGTCCTGTAAAGTTAGTTACAAAGAGCCTACATAGGAGATGGAGATGCTTGGTTACCATGGCGACACAGTAAAACTAATTTATAATACCTGAAAAGTGCAGTTGTCTGCAAAAAACTGCCTCCTATGTGTATAAATTACAGTGGTCGAAAATAATGATAGTAGCTGAAAATACAATATCATCCCAGTGGATTGTTAAGGCAGGTAGGGCAAACGTGTCTGTGTGTGTGTGTGTGTGTGTGTGTGTGTGTGTGTGTGTGTGTGTGTGTGTGTGTGTGTGTGTGTGTGTGTGTGTGTGTGTGTGTATGTGTGTGTATGTGTGTGTGTATGTGTTATCCCCTGCTCTTTATTTGTGTTTTAAAGGCCTGTTTTTGACACATACAGCAGCCAGGACTTAAATTTGAAGTGTGTGTGCGTGTATGTGTGTGTTGTGATCATTTAAAGATTAAATCAAGCTAATCATATATGTGTGTAATTTCTGTGTGGTGTGACTCATTGCAACTAGTACCAGAAGGCAAAGATCTGAGTGTGCGGATGGAAAACATTACCATGGGCTATGTTGATTCACTTTCAATTAGTGCACTTTCTCACTTTGCTGCTTTTACTGGATGTCTGCGGAATGAAGGCTGTTGCCACTTTCAGCTCTTTGCATCACTGTGTACAGGGGTGTAGGTGGCATATGAATGGTAGGGACATGTCCCTACCAATGTTTTGGGAGGAGAGAATTGTCCCTACCAGTATTTGAGTGAACTTGTTCGCACTATGTTTAGAGTGAAGTCATATTAGTTTATTCCAATGTGCTCTCTTTTGAAAGTTTTATTGGTGCGTAGGTTCTTGGTTCGAATCCCAGTTGGGACCTTTCTGAGTGGAGTTTCTATCTTCTCCCTTTGCCTGCGTTGGTTCTATCTGTGTACTCTATGGCTTCGTCCCACAGTCTCAAGAGATGTACATTAGGTTGATAGGTGACTTAGATACCTGACTATACAATGACTTTTTATGCCTTACTTATACTATGACGTGTTATGCCATAGTATACTATGATGTTTAACAACATTTTTATGCCTTACAATACTATGACATTTTTTGACATTTTTTTTTGCCTTGCTATAATATGACGTTTTTATGCCTTGCAATACTCTGACATCTTTTTTATGCCTTACTATACTATGATGTCTTTATGGCTTACTATAATACAGAATTGTAAAGAGGAGGCATGGTAGTACAGTGCTTAAAATTGTAACCCCTAGTTGTATAGGTTCTTGGTTTGAATCCCAGTTGGGACCTTTTTGTCTGGCGTTTCTATCTTCTCCCTTTGCCTGCTTTATGCCTTACTATACTGAAAAGATGATTTCTTGTGACTGAGAGATGGAAAAGTGTACAAATCAGACCAACAAGTTAAGGCTTCAGTTTGGCTGGTTTATTTGTGCACAAAGGACAGATCTGGTGCTGGGTACACCAAGTCTCTCACCTAATGACAGAACTTGAGCTGCTTATATCCTAACTTGATCAGGGCATGGTAATTATCATCTGTTAACCTCAAAACCTTTCTCTCAATGTTTCACTTTTATTGCTTATATCCTCCTGGAAGTCCACGCATCACTAAATCTCTGCAAGGATGTAAATAATCTTCTAAACACCAATACAACCATAAAACCCTTGAGGAGTGACAGACTCCTTGGTCTCCTGCTCCCCCAAAGGTCAGCAACCTACCTAAAGTTCACATTCTTGACATCCTTAAACCAAAGTTACCAACATGCAATACAAATACAACCTTACATATACTATGATGTTTTATGCCATAGTATACTATGACGTTTATGACATTTTTATGCCTTACTATACTATGATATTTTTATGACTTACTATAATACAAAATTGTAAAGCGGAAGCACAGTAGTGCAGTGGTTAAAGCTGTAACCCCAAGTTGCATATTTTCTTGGTTCGAATCCAAGTTGGGACCTTTTTGTGTGGCGTTTCTATCTTCTCCCTTTGACTGCTTTATGCCTTACTAATGATATTTTTATGGCTTACTTTAATACACAGATGTAAAGAGAAGGCACGGTATTACGGTGGTTAAAGCTGTAACCCCTAGTTGTATAGGTTCTTGGTTCAAATCCCAGTTGGGACCTTTTTGTGTGGCGTTTTTATCTTATCCCTTTGCCTGCTTTATGCCTTACTATAGTATGAGGTTTTATGCCACACTATACTGTGACGTTTATCAACATTTTTATGCCTTACTATACTGTGACATTTTTATGCCTTACTATACTGTGATGTTTTATGCCATAGTATACTATGACGTTTACAGACATTATCATGCCTTACTATACTATGATGTTTTTACACGTTACAATAATACACAATTGTAAAGATGTGACACGGTAGAATAGTGGTTTAAACTCTAACCCCTAGGTTCTTGGTTCAAATCCCAGTTTGGAACTTTCTGTGTGGATTTTTTATCTTCTACCTTTGCTTGCTTTATGCCTTACTGTACTGTGACGTTTTATGCCATAGT